GAAGGTGGTACGATGTGGGGTATCGGTTAAGTGGTGGGATGACGAGCTGAAAGAAGAAATAGGGGAACGTAGAGAAGTCTTCAAGCAGTACCTGAGTGAGGCGTCTGAGGCGAGTTGGGAAAAGGACAGGGCAAAGAGAAAACAGGTGAAGCGACTAATAGTGAAAAAGAAGAAAAAGTGCATTTGGGACGAAGTAGTGCAGAAGGCCAACGGAGGCCTGGAGGGGAACGTCAAGCAGATGTGGGAAGGGATTAGTGGAATGGTAAAAAAGCCCGCGCAAGGGGGGGATACAGGNTGAACGATAGGATAGTGGGAGTATTGGAGAAGGAACATAACATTAGTGAGGACCAGGCAGGTTTCCGCAAGAAGAGGGGGTGCGTAGACCACGTGTTCACGGTAGGGAGAATCATCCAAGGTAGAAAGAGGGCGGGAAAGCCGACGTACTGCTTCTTCCTGGACGTGAAAAAGGCATACGAACACCGTATGGAGAAATGGGTTGTGGAAACAACTGTCAAAATACGGGATAAGGGGAAAATGTGGAGAGTGCTGAAGAAGATGACAGAGTGTACGAAAAGCGCGGTCATGCTAGACGGAGAACTGTCAAAATTCTTCGACATTGAGCAGGGGGTCCCACAAGGTTGCACGCTGTCCCCAACATTGTTCCAGGTGTTCATCAACGATCTGTTGGAAGTCGTAGAGGCAGTCCGGAAGGGAGTAAAAGTAGGGGACACGGAAACGTCGGTTTCAGGAATGCTGTTTGCGGATGATTTTGTCGGTATGTCGGACACCCCTGAGGGACTGCAACTGCAAATTGACGCGGCGAAGAAGTTTACTAATAAGTGGACATTTTCTGCCAACGTTCAGAAGAGTGCCGTCATGGTTTGCCACGAGAACAAGGAACAACCAGTAGAACATAGATGGAAGTGGGGGATCGAGGAGATTGCAGTAGTGGACCAGTACACATACCTCGGAGTAGAGATCGCAAAAGACTGCTCGTGGAATGCACACATGTCCAAGGTAGCGGAAAAGGGCAAATCACGAGCAGGGAAGCTGCATCCAATACTCGCAAACCGGCACCTCGATACACGCATCAAATTGACGGTTTTGAAGAGCGTAATCGTACCGCCGCTAGAGTACGCCGGAGAAGTATGGGAAGGAAATAAGAAGGTAGTGAAAGAACTCGAGGCGGCGCAGATGAAAGCAGCGAAAACCATCCTAGGATGCTCCAGGCGCACAAGTAATGCAGCCGTGAGGGCAGAATTGGGGATCCAATCCCTACGGTCGGGAAGAGACGCGAGGAAGCTGACATGGCAGTATCGCATGTGCGGGATGGGAGAGGAGAGGTTGCCGAGAATTGTATGGGAGGCGAAGTGGGCAAACAAAAAGAGGGGTAGACAACCCACGGAATGGGTCAAGGTTGTAGAGGACGTATGGAAGGGGCTCGACATCGACGAAGATAAAACGCTGGAAACGGAGGGTCTACAGGGGTTCGAGGGGAAGATATCTGTTGCTTGTGTCGAGAGAGAA